GAATATATAGATGGAGCACGGAGCATTCAGCAAGACTCCATAGACGCGGAAACGCCGTCCGGTAGAGTGCATTGACCAATCAGAAGGCTGCCGCAAGTCGCTTGCGGCAAAATCAAAATTTGTGATTGGTCAACGCACTCTGCCGCACGGCGTTTCCGCGTCTATGGAGTCTTATGCCCGTTTTCACCATTAGTGATATTAATCTAGGTTTACCTAAACGTCGATTAAAATGAACGTTGGTTTGAGCTCAGTTTAAATGTAATTGTATTCCACCAACTCTTGAGAGGCGTCGTTTAAGTGAACTTATACTCTATACGATAAAACTTTTTTAACAACCTGTGATTGGTCGATTATGAGCGTAAATTTATGAAATGATGCATAAGTTGATCGTCGGTTCTAACCTCTTCTAGCAGTAAGGAAGATCGTGAAAATTGAGAATTTCGTGAAGTTAAAAATAAGTAATCCTAAAAAAAGAGGAACAAATTTTTCAAATAATGAGAAATACTTATTAATTGAATTAGTAACAAAATATAAAGATGTAGTAGAGAATAAAAAGACTGACGCAGTATTCGCCAAAGAAAAAATAAAGTGTTGGGATGAGATTTGTAAAAAATTTAATTGCGAATCAAATATATTTCGTGATGCAGTAACATTGAAAAATTGTTGGGAAAATCTAAAAAAGAGAACTCGAAAATACTATGCTGAAGAAAGAAGCAAATTATATAAAACAGGTAAGTTTGTTTATCATAACCTATATCCTTTTGAGAGTCAACCTAATAAATACCATGCTACATACCAGATTAATGTTATAATTTTATAAATTACTATAGAAATTACTATATCAAGAAAAATTTTTTATCTAAAAATCTATAACAAAATGTAAAATTAGTAATATATGTTTTACTATAGGAGGTGGACCACATGAAAGTCAATATGACCCTGTAATGGAAAAGATTCATATTATAATAAAACCTTCAGTTGATGGTTTGACTAATGAATTTGATAATGATAATATAGGTGAGTTTTAATAAAATTTATAATAAGAAGTAATTATGCAATAGAGAAAATATTTAAAGTTATTCTATAAGTTCCATAACTATATTCTATAGAAGTTCCATGTAATTAAGTTGTTTATAGGCTGCATTCATCAAATTTTAAAGGGAGTACGTATTGTTAGTAGTGCTTAATGATTAATGCTTATGATTGATGTAAATTTTTAGATCCATAATAAGTACAGAAGAATATTCTAATCACAGATAGTAATCAAGCTAGGCTTTTGATCTAAGCACTTATTAAATACTACTTTTACTAAACGCAGCCAGTCTCTTAAAAAAAATTATAAAAAAGTTGTTAAAAATACGTCCAATAGAAGTTTCTAATGAAAAATTATTATAATTTATAAATTAACTTCGGAATTGTTTAAACTATTTGTATATTATCTTTTTGTTTAGAGAATAATCAAAATTCATATTGTGAAAATGAATTGGAAGATAATAATGATGACAGTAATACTCAAGGTAATACGACTGTACCGTTAGAAAACTTATTTGAGGAGATACCTTCATCTGATGCAGAAGATTCTGTACTAAAGGTTTATAATTGTAATTTTTCAGTTGAATAATATATTTTATTTTATAATTAAATATTTTTTTAATTAGTATGTAGGTACAACCCAAGAGACACCAGAATACACAGAATCATTTCCTGCCTTGGCAAGCATTAAAAAAAGGAAATTAGATGATATGAAAAGAGATATGTCTAATAAAAACATGCCATTTAAACAAAGCGGTCAAAAAAATAAGCAACATATCAATGTACAGGTATGTTAAAAATAATAATATAAGTAATAAAACATATGTTTCTCTTCATATTCCTTTATTTTAATATGTTTTGATGTTACAACATAAATTCTTATTTTTTCCAGTTCCGAAATACAAACAATTTTAATAAAAATTGTAATGTATCTGAAGAAAAAAGTGATTCTTCTAAACCTACTATAAACTCAAGTAAACAGGTAATTTGTATATTATATAATATCTAAAATATATATATATTCAAGGTCCCATTTATCTTTGTAATCTACTAATTTGTTTGAAAACTTTAAACATTGTGGTTTTCTATTAGCAGCTTTTATAAAGTACATAATCATGGTACTAACCATATAAAGTATAGTTTGAATTATATGTATATTTAATATTTATTTGTCATTGTATTTCTTTTAGATCAGGCTTGGAACTTTGAGCTCCAGAGCCATGACACTTCTCCATCTACAGAGAGTGGGAAAGGAGCTTCTTCACTGCATAAAGAGCAGGCATGATTAACTTCATCCAGCATAGAAACCCCTTTCCCTCGTTCTCCGTGAATGGAAAGGGAGAAGTGTCGTGGCTCCAGAGCTCGAAGTTGTCCAGGTCTGTTTTAGATACAACAATAAAAAAGATTGGTTATTTTTTATGAGACATTTTGTATGCATATACATTGTATATATACAATGGTTTCAATATATTACAAATTATTTATACATTTGGAAATTAAATAATGCAGCATTTACATAATATATAGAGCCATGGGACGGTCTCGCTCCGCACATACTTGGTGCGAGACACTACCGTGTCTTTTAATACTTATATTTATTATTTATTATTACTTTACAGTTACAAGATATTGCAATTAATTGCGATACATCCTCAGAAGAAAATGAATGTCCTACTGATAAGGATGATTTTGGTATTACACAAAGAAAGGTAACATTATATTTATTATTATGTTAGTATATTATATATTTATAATAACTATAATACTTAAAAATACTTAAAAAAAATTGTATAAATAAAATTATATAAAGTTATATTTTAATTATTAAAGTTTTATTTTAATTATTATTACAGATTGTAAATACAGGGACAAAGACGAAGGAAAAAAGTGCTGTGAACGTGTTGAGAAAGAAGATGAATAAACCAATTCAAATACGTGGAGAAAATGTACAATTCAATAGCGATTGTGCAAAGACATTTCCTCAAACAAAAAAAAATTACTCTATGTCGGATAAGGTATTAAATTTTGCAACATTAGCAAAATCAAAAACAGAATTAGTTGACGTTATGAAAGCAGATATAGACGAAAAGCATGCAATTGAAGTCAATATATTAAATATGCAATTAAAAAGAGAAATACTGCAAGTACAATTGATAGAGAAGGAAATTGCAATAAAGGAATGCATTTTACAACGCGTGAAAAAGACTGAAACGTTAGAGGATATAGAAAATTTAAATATGTGATTTACTTCAAAAAATGATTCATAAAGTGATAATATTTGAGCTCACATAATTGCACTATATCCAATAAGTTGAGTAATTTATATATAAACAACTCTTTTTTAAAAATTGTTTAAATTACTCAAGAATAGTACAGTTAAAAAATAAGATTTTGTTTCGTTTATTTTGTAGAAAATACCGTGATATTAGATTACAGTGATATTAATATTTTAATCTATGAGAGTAAAAGATCTGAAAGTTTAGTTTTTTTTTTGCAAAAATAAGTTTATTTTTATGTTAATCGTCGAAGAGATTTAATATGTATTTAATGCAATGACATATTAATACAGAGAAAATATGAGCATAACCATATTATGTACTTACGGAAATATATGTACTTGAGATAGTAGATATATACTAGAAATAAGTTGTGAATAATTAATTAAGCCTATTTTTCAACAGAAAATGACAGTTAATCTTGAAAATTATTACACACCAATTTTTTTATAATAAAAATTAAATGAACAATATTTTTACATTATGACATATTTAATTTTTAAAAAATATTTACACCAATCTGAAAAAAGAACATATTATTTATTAAATATTAGATTTTTTTCCTTATTGTTAATTTACTATCATTAAAGAACATTATTTAATTCTGTTAAATCTTACCTTTGAAAATAATCATTAATAATTTGTGTGCGTGTAGCATTCGCATTATTTTGTACATTAATTTCATTATTAATATATCCTTCGTTAATTATATGATCCCACGGTGCTGGCAAGTTAAGAATAGGATCTTCAGGAGGATCTTTATCAGCATTACGTCTTGCAATATTATGCATAACAGCTGTGGCTACAATAATTGTCATTATTCTTTGTAATTTATATCGCATACCTAAAGCCAAAATTGGGAAACGTCTCTTCCAAACTCCAAATAATCGTTCTATAATGTTTCGTGTTCGTATATGTGCTTGGTTATATACTATTTCTGCAGGTCTTTCAGGATTCAACAATGGAGTAAGTAAATACGATTTTGAAGGATAGCCACTATCTCCTAATAGTAAGGCATTTCTATACATGTGATTTTCAAAATTAGCTCTTAAACGACTGTTATGAAAAATTGTACTATCATGCACTGAACCAGGCCACCTAGCAACGATATCTGTTATTTCTAAATTTGTATTACAAACTGCTTGAACATTAAGTGAAAAAAATCCTTTTCGATTTCGATATAATTCAGCATCTGGTCCACCTAAGAAATAAAATCAATTATGTAATATTATATTCTTATATACTGTCATAATCACTCATAATTAATAAGTATGAAACATTTATAAATAGTCAAATTTTTGTATTACCAAAAGATTGAACACGTATATGTGTACAATCAATACATCCTACAATTTTTGGAAATCGAGCAATATTATAAAATTTTAATTGCTCTCTTCGAATTTCCTCTTCAGTTGATGGGAAATGTATATAACGAGGTCTCAAACGAGCAATTGCTTCACTGACTCTGTGTACAATTCGTTGTGCACTTGTTGTGCTGACTTCCCCGAAATCTCCCATTGTAATTAAAAAAGATCCCGTTGCGTATAAACGCAATGTTAAAAGTAATTGGCACATTGGTGATATTGCATTATTTCTTTAAATATAAAAAGATATAAACTTAAACAGACAAATAGTTTTATATATATATATATATATATATATGTTAAGGATGCATGTTCAGAATATAGATTAACAAACCATTAATTAAAATATAAGTAAAGTTTCTTTAAAAAAAGTATTTATATATAATATATATGTATATGTGTTAATCACTTGCGTTTATAAAATATTCCGTCTTACGTACCTTTCAGTCCTAAATATTAATTCTCCGTGTATATGATTTAATATTGTTATTACAGTTTCTTTGTTTAAACGAAATCTCATTTTAAACTCAATGTCATCTAATTCTATGAAATAATTGACTCGTTCTTTAAAAATTCTTGGTCTTCGATATAAAATATTGATTATATCTTCATCATCGGAAGAAGATAAAATATCTGCATAATTGTAATGTGCCATTCCTATTAATAAAAATATTTTTTTGTAACTATGTAAAATGTTTTTATGTGTAAATTTATATATCTTATTTATTCTATTTATATAAATTTATATTTTTTTATATCATAATATTATATATTTGAATATTTAACAAGAAATATAAACAAGTTAACAAAGTAAAATACTGTTACAAGTTAAAATAACATTAATGGTAAAATTATGGTTATTACAACAAATTCTACAATTGGTATAAATTATGGTATTTAGCATAAGTTTCTGAAAATAAAAAGATATATACGATACCGCGTAAAATATTTTACTGTAATATAATTTATTTCGACGTTTATAACCTCTTTGTATGTCTATACACACATTGAATCTCTATATTTCATACTAGTTATTTTTTTAAACTTCGTTTATCGTAGCTGAACGGCCAAAATTGAGCGTTCAAAATAAACTCAGTTTATTGCCGTTTAAATTTTGAACTAAACATGGTGGGAATGGAAATATGCGATAAACCAAGATTAAGCAAATGTCACTAGAGTTTAAGTTTTGAACCGAGTTGGTGAAAACGGGCATAACTGTAGTTAAAAAAAAAATTTTTTAAACAAATTTTTCGCGAATTTTTTTTATATGTTAAAAATTCCTGAGGCCCTTCTTTTTTTATAGCAATCAGTTTAGCAATATCGCAAGTGCATTCGAGAA